GTTCTAAAGTGCAAGATCACATTAGGCTGCCTGCAACATTTCTCTTAAAGTGTATCTATACTATACAGTTAAAACAGGTCAGTACATTTTACCTGTCAAGATGCCATCTTATAGAAGCTTGGGATTCTTTCTACCCAAAGGCTTCTCTATTATCAGACTACAAGTCTCAAGATTCCCGAGGACAGAGCCATGGCAGTTAAAGCTGTATTAAACTGTTACAACTGGTAATGTGGATATATGCTACTGGTGCCTGAATTACCAGAGATGTGGATGGGAAAGAAAAAGCTTGCCCCCTTTTCCTATGGCCCCATTTGCTATTACATTATAGAACGATAAACAATATGAGTGTGTGTGATTTGGTTAAAACAGGAAGGCGTCTGGAGCGAGGCATGTTCATTTCACTAAGATCTTCTCTCTTTTTCCTCCCATTATTAAGCACCTCCAACAATATGTATTATGAAAATACAGAAAGCAGTAGTAAAAAAGTCTGTTTACCCTGTTCCAGCCATGTATAAATTACACAGAATTCTTTGTGAAAAAGATAGAAAAATCTCATTTTTATGACATATATTGCTGATTTTTTTTATTTTCCATTGTCCCCATAATGCTGATTTTAAAATAAATGTTTGTATAGCTTACAACTAATCTGCTAAAATTATGAGGTCCTTCAGCAACTAATACAGTACATCTTTTTGATGCAACCTGAGAAAGCAATAAGGCTTTCCTTATATATAACTTCCTATATACCATTTTCAAGCTACTTTAGAGACAAAAGACAGCCCTATGAAAAAGTTTGAGGGCTAGTCAACTCTCTGCATACTTTCAGGCTCTTTTGTTCTTACAGAATATCTCTGGGCATTACAGTGGTGCCTTGCAAGACGAATTTAATTCATTCCGCGGTCATTGCCATCTTGTGAAAAATTAGTCTTGCAAAATGCGTTTTCCCATAGGAATGCACTGAAATGTAATTAATGCGTTCATATGGGGATTTTTTTTAAAAAAGTCACTTACCAGGTAGGGAGCTGGGAAGCACCATTGGAGGGCTGGCGGGGGGGGTGTCCTCTCACTGTGATCGCTGGCTTAGGGGGTCCCCCGGGGCTTCCCCTGCACCATTCCAGAACTCGCAGGGGTCCCTCCAAGCAGCAATAGGCCCTTGCAGAGGCTAGTCCAGCACAATTTTTTAAGATCGCGCCCTTTCCCCCTGCCTTCAGTAAGGGTCGGAACTTTAAAAGGCTTTCTTTTTTCCCCCTTTTTCCATTCGGAGGCTTGCTGAAGACAGGGGAAAGGGGTGCAATCTTCAAAAATGGTACTCGGCTAGCCTCTGAATGACAACATTCGTCTTGCAGAAAAACGCCATAGGAACAACAGTCCTGTGAGGAACCAAAAACCTCGCCGGACCCATTCTTCTAGCGAGTTTTTCGTCTGGTGAGGCAATCGTCCTGCGAGGCACCACTGTACTTAGATTTGAGGAAGTTGTGACTACCTTGTAAAGGTCATTACAGTAAACCTAAAGTGAAAATATTTTACATAACTGATACTTAAGACATAACAGCTAGGAATTCTCTTATTTACTTAAGATGGTTTAAGTCCAATGGCATTCCTAGTTAAGATGTTAAAGATTGTATTTTGTGTTGTGCACCAAGTCATACGACTGGTCCATAACCAGAAATACAAGATTTCCACCATTTGTCTTATGCCATCAGGTATAAGCACACAGTCTTGAACGTTCCAGGTTAGACCCAGGCAGAAAAAATCTGAAATATGAAAAACCTTAAAAGAATTTTGTAGAACCTCAGAGTGTAACAGGTTTTATCTGGCATACGCTACTGTGAACTGGAGCCAATTGCCATCTGATGCACAGATAAATATTAAAATTAAACAAGAATAATGTAACAAAAAAAGAGAGAATGAAATGAATCAAAGCCACATGACCTTTGTGTCAAAATATGAAATTCTGTGTGTACAGAGTGCTAAAAATATAGGGGATCAAGCAAACCGATAACTGACCAACTTAATTCACCAGCACTTTATGCACATAGCAACTGAGGGAAATATAAATATGGGGAGGCAAAGAAACACATACACACAACATGACACACACACACACACACACAGGATACCAACCACACAGATACTGAGAACCAGACATGAAATAGCAGCAGGCTTCATTTCCAAAAGCTTACAAGACAAATCTGATGGATTTCCCTCCACAGCTGCCAATTGGCTGGGTGAGTATATTGTTTAGTAATTTTCTGTGTATGTCCTTATAATATGCTTAAAGGCTAAGACATGTATTTTATTGTATATTTACTCTTAGGATCTTTAATATTTTCAGAGACTTATTCTCCGCTTTTTCATTGTGCCTTAGAATGTAATTAAAACATTCTTTTTCATCTCTTTAGTATTTTGGATTGGAATCTGACTTAAGTATTTGCCTGCAACTTACATTTAGTTTTCATATATTTTTAAGCATTTGTGCCTACAGCTTTTCCATAGCTGCTTGAAGTATTTTTGTGCTTGTGAAACAAAGAAGCTATGGGCATGCGTAAAGCCTATAGAAATAGACAAGCTGAATTGCCTGGAATTACTGTAACAATGAAAAGACCCATACTGTACCTCGATATCCAGATGAATGATGATATGAATGGAAATGGTTATCTAGTCTCATTCTGGAATTAACCATTTTTCTGGGACAAATGCCAGCTCTGACGAACACAGGTTTTTGATTTTTCCCTAAAGGTCTATAAAGAGCTGTAGAACACTTTGGGAGATATTCAGGCATCAGACTCTCTGACCTGACACTCCTACAAAATTGGTAGGGAAGGGTGGATGAGACCTTTGTTAGACCATTACAATATCACAAGCATAAGCCAGCTTTCCACCCTGCATGGACCATCAGGCTGGGCACCATCCCCCGCAGCTCTGTGGTGCCTGGCCTGATGAAGACTCACGTGGTGTTGAATGCTAACTTTTATTTGTGAATTTTTTAGTGATATAATAGTTGCCCAGATAGCCCAGACAGTTAGGTATCTGAATATGGAGCCACCAGTTGGGAGTTCTGTTCCCCACTGTGCCTCCCAGAAGAACAGCCAGCCTATGTAACCTTGGGCAAGATGCAGAGTTCCAGATCCAGTTGATCCCCAGAAGAAGAGACTGACAAACTACTTTCGAGTAATGTACAGTATAACTAGAACACTTTGAAAAGGGGTGGCATAAGTTAGATTTGACTTGATGGCACATACTTATTATTTAATGAAGATAATTTAACACTTTATCAGTCGGGTTCATTTCTTTCGTACAGGGTATGACTGCTTATGCTTTCTTCATTCCTGTGTTTTTTAAACCCAGTATCTGAGCATATGCTTATTTGCACCTTGAGACTGAAACTGGCATTTCACGGCAAAATGTTTCAGATTCTGTCTGATTATATCGTTATTTTTAGAGAGCTACTTTAGAGATTTAAAATACTGTATATTTCATCAATATACTCTATATAGGATACATTTTACATAACATTTTTTATCAGTTGATCATCTGCAAATCAAGTTTGATACAGGTACATGCTTTATTTTAAGTATGTTTGGGCTGCAGTCATGTGTAGGAATGACTTCACAGTAACAAGGACAATTTATTCTAGTTTTTAAACCAATTTCTGTGCTTAATATATTAATTTTATCTTTTAATCAATTTGAGGATAATGCTTTTATTTATTCATTAATGCAGGATCTTTTTGTTAGCCTCATTTTAATTGCTTCATTTATTATGCATACATCCATTTTAATGCAACTTATTGCAATATTTGTTTTACATGATAATCTTTGAAGTTTCCCATAACTTTTTATAACTTTTAACCATTTTAGCAACAATCCCAATACATTGTAATGATATTTAATATAGTTCTGAATTAACTATCAGTTGCCATAACCTGGAGCAAATTAGAATTGGATAGATAAACTAAACTGTACATTGACCAAAGATTTTTTGCTTATTATAATAAATTGCACTAGAGCAGGCATACTAACTTAATTGGGGTTTAGAGAGCAGGTCCATCTTAAGTTCCATTCATTCAAATGGGCTTACTCTAACTGCAACTTACTACATTAAAGTAAGTCACAAGTACAGTAGGTCCATTTGAATCAATGGAACTGATTTAGGAGCTGACTCACTAAATCCTCATTGATTCAATGGCTCTTCCCTAGTGCAATTTACTACACTAAAGTTCAAACTTCCAGCACACCAAGTCATAAAGGCATAATAGGGCTTTTTAGTACAAAAAGTTCTAGTAGTAGAGATCTATCTTGCCCAATTAAAAGCTTAACAGGTCTTTCAACTTGATAAGAAGTTGCATATTGCTAAGCAGATTATGTGCTCTTTTCCACAGAAGTTGGCCCTGTGAAATTTACTGTAAAGTGAATTGCCCCATTAATGACAACTCTAATTTAACCTGAGGCCATGGAGCTGGGAGCAATCAGATAGCTCCATTTAATGTTAAGTAAAGCTGGACTCATTTGACCCCAACGCTGGAACTGATAGATGAATCTGGAATCATTGTCACCTCCCCTAACAAATGGAAAATACTATCTCTGCACCAGCTTTTAGTGCTGTATGTTGAGAACCATGATACATGGCTTGTAAACTGATACGCCGTTGGAGTGCCCTTCCCCTATTTTAAAATCCCCTGGATGAAGCAGGTTAATTCATGCTGCCTGTTTTTCCTAACATATTGTGTTCTTCTATCAGACATTCCCTGAAAATAAATCAAAGCCTACAAGACATTTAACCATAAAATGAAAGTAAACATTTTGCAATTAACTATCGTAGATGTTTTTACTCTTAAAGTCAGTATGTAAGCCTGCAGAGCTCCCTTATGGACAACAGGGGTACTATCATCCTAAGGACACTTCCCATCCTACATTTTAGAAGCTGCTGCAGTACTCTTTGGAAGGAACTTCCACGTTTCTGAAAATAACTTGGATAGATTTGTTTATATGCTGTTTTAAAAAAAAAAGTCTGACTTTGCTTAGAAAAAGGGTATTTACAGAAGACCTTTTGCCTGGTGTGCTTCCATCCACAATGCAGCAATAAAGATAAAATCCTTCTGTGGAAAAGAGTGAAAACCCTACCTTAAACACAACGTTTCGGTAGGAATATAATAAATGTGGTGGCCATGGAAACTAATGTGAGGGCGTTTTAACTGTGATTCTCTAACAGAAGCAAAATGGAAAATTCCCAAAACACCAGAGGTTGATATAACTGTAGTTATTCTCCTGGATATTGAAACTGTCTTCCTTCAAAGAACAGGAGACAAACCATAATAAGTTTACCTTTTGTTTGTTTCAATAAAAAAAATTTTTTTAAAAAAAATCAAGAGCAAAATCTTTCCTCGATGTATCGGCGCATTCGACTCAAGACTTGAATGAACCGGCCTGATCAATGGGATTTTTTTAAAAGGGGAGGGGGAGTCCAGCCAATAACACTTGAATTTATAATCCTCTCATGTTTTCCCATCACTTAACCTGCCTTTTTTTTCTTTCTACAAAAAACACTGTTTAAGAGCAAAATAGAGAAAAAGGCATAAATGTCTTTTGGCAGTACAAGGGGCCTTCAGGTGACAAGTAATAGATTCTTATCTTCCTAATGGCTTCCAATGTACTATTTTGTAATACACAAGAGAATCTGGACTGGACAGGCCTAATCTGTTTTGTTGGTTATTCTTTCATTTTTAAACTACTGCTCCAAAGTAATTTATGGTAATCTTAAAAGCCCTGAAAGCCTTCTTTCTATTAAAAAAAAGGTTAATTGTCTTTTAAAAGATGAAGAATATTCACTATCTACTCTGATGAAGTCCTAGTAAAAGCCCAGAACTGTATACACTTAATCTTTGAGTATACCACCCCAAATTTGGGGTGGGGGGAAGCTGTACAATCCTCATTCATTTAAATACATCTGTGCCATAGAGATGCTGGTTAACCTCTGCCCTAGGAATCTAGCTATACACTTTAGTGTTGTAAGATTCAGAATACCAGAATTCAGAGTCATTCAATAAAAATGATAGGAGTAGGTTATTAGCTAATAAAAAGAAGTACTTTTTTGTGACCTACAGAGAACTTACAGAATTCCCAATCACAAGATGTGGTGGCAGCCACTGGTTCTTTTCTTTGGTTTGTTTTTAAGGCTAGAGAAATTCAAGAAGGAAATGCCCACTGATAGCTGCTATTAGACATGATGATAGAGCTTGGAAACATTACTTTTCTCAATCAATAGGTTTCAAGCTCTCCCAGCCAGCATGTTAAAGGCAGTACAATAATTCCTTATATATAATGTATCCCCATACAGTGCTGATTCATTATATTATCCATGTCTAGGCAGCCATTTTGTGCTTGATGGAGGCCTGGTCTACCTAAAGGAGCTGAACAGGCTTCCAGGAGATCTGGGCCCAAGCTAGAGGTAGACTGGACCTTGAAACCCCTGTCATCAGGTACAATGCTAAACTGCTCTGTTTGGTGCTAATTCAGTTAGCACTCAATTTTCTTGGAGTGCATCCTGAATGCTAAGCTGGTTATTACTGTATATATGCCTGTGAACAGTAGTCATTGAGGGATAATAGTTAAAGTGGGTTACATCCATGCCTAGTATGATGGGAACAAGATAAACCTTTGATCTGATTGATCAACAAGATCTCCTAGGAACATTAACAGACTGTTTGTCAAATCTCTCTTAAAATTCCTTAGGAGGAAATGGAGCTGGGAAGCGCCAAACACCTGTTGAGCCAATAAACAAACCACCAAGCCAGTGGTTCATGCTCATTTCTAAACAGGTGTATTTTTTATTTAGTCATACATTTAGTTGCATTTTACATACATATCCTGTGAAAAATTGAAAATAACTGAAGTATCTTATTTTTGTGTGGACTAGGAGTAACATAATAAAAGGGCAATGGATTTCTGCACGTGGAGAATTATTACTCAGTAGCTGTCATATGCAATAGTGGCCAGCTTACAGAGGAAACCTCTTTGTTGCAGGGGGAAGGGTAGAAATTCTTATTTATCATGTACTCACCCTCCCTTTGTCTTCTTAAAAGAATGACTGGTGTTTGACTTACAAAGAATGTTAATACACTTAATATTTAGCCTGCTTTGTACATAAGGAATTAACACATCTAAAACTGTCCATTATAAAACTGCTGACAATGTGTTCTTTCCCAGAGTTGAAATTTTAGTAAAGGCACTTATGATTGGCTTTTGCTCATCAGCAAAATGTGTGAAGGTTAGGCTGTAACTAAGCTACATCACTCTCAGTAATTTCCTGGCCAGATAATGGGGTTAGAAAAGTCAGAAATTAATTGCTCTACCCTAAGTTGTGGAAAGTAATTAGTTGACGAGCACCTCAACAAAATCAGACAGGTTTTGATCACAAGGTAAGTGAATGGGAGAAGGTTCACAGAAGTGAAATTCTGTTCTCCCATCATGCCTTCCCCCTTCCACTGACACCTCCCAAAAAAGCATCACTAGGGATTATGGGCACTCTCCTCAATAATGTTGGGAAGGGTATCCCACACTGCAGTAAGGGAAGGTATCTCCTAAACAGGTGAAGTTCCATGTGATTTGAAGCAATGCTTCCATCCTCAGGCATGTCCTACCCAGAACTCTCCTCTTGACACTGGCTTTCCAGGGAGAGCAAATAGATGCAAAGAACAACAACAACAACAAAAATCTCCTCCATGAACATTCTTCGGATCACTTATTTTAGAATCTAAACTATACTCTACTGAAGTAAAGTACCATCCAGAAAGATGGCACTATTTGCCCCAAAACACATCAATGCAAAGATAAATATATGGAACATGGAATACATTGATAGGATCATTGACTGTGAACCATGAATGTTGCAGATACAGCCGCTCACCTTACCCACCACTGGCCATTACTACTTTCTGAAAGAATAAAAAATTAGGATTTTGTACAAGCATATGAATATTACAAATAGCCCTTTACACCTGTGTGAGTGCATGGCCAGCATGGTCAGACACACAGATATGCCATTACCTGAATCCAGAGCTTGCAAACATTAGTTTTTTGGACTAAAATCATAGGCCATTTTGACTGGGGTTTCTGGGATATGTTATCCGAAAAACAAAACAAACAAAAAAAACCCTACACAAACCCCTAATGTTTCCAAGCTCTGCCTGAATTTGGCTAATATTGAGTACAAAAGCTTCACTTACACACCAGAACACCCGTTCTTGCTATAAGCACATAATGCATATTCCACAGCTTGGTGCACACTGTGGAAGAAAAATGCTTCCTCCTCCTTTTTCGCATACTCTCCTCGTTGAAGGGAATCCCTCACAGAGGGATTGCACTGAGCCAGCAGTACTTGGATGCCAATTTCCCCATAATCTTTGTGAACCTCTTTAAGTGTGTTGATTCCAGCTGTATCTAAGAACGGCACTGCACAGCAATCAATCACTATGGTATGGAACTCCAAAGGCTGAGTGACAAGCTCCACCGAGGTCTCCCCTTGGTTTCCATTGGCATTGGCTGTTTTCTCACTAAGCCTTCTTTTTTCTAGCTTTTTCTTTGCTGCTAGTTCCCATAAAGGGTTGATGCCAGTCCGCTTGTACAGCATGGACTTAAAGCTCTCTTTATTAGCATAGTAGATGGGTGCTTCAAATCGAAAAATCTTGATGCCTGGTTTAGTCTTAAGGTCCTTGTAAGCCGGAAGTGGTTCATAGATTTCAGATTCCGGCACCCAGCCCAGGAGCTGCCCTTCTGGTCTCTGTGTCCGCAAAATGACACACAGCATTGAAAAGCAGACCCCAATTAGAAGACCAAGTTCAGTACTTATCAGAGCTGAAGATAACATGGTGACTATCCAGATCACAGTGTCCACCTTGCTTAATCGCCACATTTTAGGGAGGTCCCTAAATTTTCTTAAAGCTCCTCTGAGATTGACAATGGTTATGACTCCTAGCACACATTTCTGGAGTGAAAAGAACAGGGGGGCAATCACAAGAAGGACTAACAAGATGACCAAGCCCGTCATCAAACCAGATACCTGAGTCCTACAACCTGTTGATTCTTTCACAAGTGTCTTGGCAAGGGCTGCACTGGTTGTGATACAATGAAAAAAAGATGGGATGATGTTGCAAAAACCAATGGCATACATTTCCTGGTTAGGTTTCACTGTGTAGCCATGCTTCTTGGCAAACATCTCCGAGAGAGACACAGTTATGGCGAAGCCGATAATGGCTATGGCTATCGCATCTACAGCCACGCTTGGCATTAGATTCCAATCTGGTGGTTGTGGTGGAAGAAAACCTGTCGGGATGTGTCCAGAAACACTGGAGCCATATTTCTCTTTCAACTTCCCAAAATGAGATGCCACCGTAGCTACCACCACCACCAAGAGCTCAACAGGCAAGGGAGCCTTAAGTCTTGATTTGAACTTCTCATTCAGCTCTTTCGTTGGGATAAGAACCAGAAGGCACAAGCAGCTTGTGATAAGGTCACAGAAGTTGGTCTTGTGGATGTTTTTAAATATGTTTACCCATGTGTTTATAGAGGAACCAATACCATGGCTCCGAGGAATATCTAGACCCAATAGGTATTTAACCTGTGAGGTAAGGATGGTGAAGGAAGCACCTGTGACAAATCCACTGAGCAAGGAATCAGAGAGATACACAGAGACAAAGCCCACTTGGAAGAAACCCATGGCAACCTGGAAAGAAAGAAAGAAGAATCAGAAGGGAATTTTGTACCAAAGGACAAAAGAACATAACCAGATAATGCACACATTAGTACATATAAATGTGCCAGAACATATCACACCCTGTCAAATTCATGTTGATCACAATAAAACATCTCACAGTTTAATATGTGTTTAGCTCAAAACTGACCTACTCAGTTTTTAAAAACTGAAATTCCTTCTTCTTCTTTTTTAACCTTTTCAGAGCTTGCAGTTTTTTCAGGAGCACACATGTATCCTTTATTTTATGTTATTTTATTTTAAGAATGAATGTACTACAAAACAATGCTTTGCATTGTGAAGCAAGGATGTAGGCATTTGCATTGTAATTTTGCATGGTGTTACATTTGTACAGAGTGCCCTTGATTTGATTTATTTTATTATGTCTTTACATACCGTATTTGCCGGTGTACAAGACAACTTTTTTGGTC